AAGTCTCATCGTGTAAATGTGAGAAATGTCTCTGATGTACTCACGAATAAATGGGTGGATGTCGTACTAAGTTTATCAAACGCATCGCTGATTTCGAATTCAACGCTCTCTTTATCTAATAAAGACCGTTTACATAAAGGATTCAATACATCCTGTTTAACTATGGCTGTACTCGGTTTGCCTGTCACTGCAGCCGCTAGACGTGGTCCAAAGGACCCTGGAATATACTGCAACTCAGAGGATTTCTCTTGCAATATTGGCAACAAAGCATCCATAAATGAGCCAATCACAATCTTTCCTTCGTCAGAGAGCTCATCAAGACTGGACATTCTCTTTTCCAATCTGGTAGAAAGCTCTTCCGGAGTATATTGCCCATTTCGCAGTGCTGAACCAGCAACAATCAACAATTTGGGCAAAAAACTGCATAAATTAGCAAGTTTAATTTTATATTCTTGAATATCTACACCTTCTGCAACTAATTCTAAGAGAGTTTCTGCATCTTCTGGTTGAAGTGGTTTGAGATCCAGGGAGTAGAAAACCACGTGGTTGACAACTCGAAATTTAAACCTTGTTGTGACTACAACCTGAATCAAATCCGATGATTCTTCGATTAAATTCAGAATGGAATCAATAAAATCTGATTTTGCTGTACTTTCAGCCAATAATATATCTTCTGCATTATCCAACAGTATAATGTGATGATGTTTGGCCTTATGAACAATGTCCAGTATACGTTGAAACGGTAATGTTAATTGGCGACTTGGGGAACTGCAATTATAGCCGACCGCTGATTGATCCTCTTGAACATGTGACTGATCTGAAGCATAATACGATTGTTCTGATAGGGTAAACTGGTTAATAAGCTGTGAAATGATTGGTTCAATATTCTTGACATTTCTAATGCTGACCTCATGTATGTGCAAAATAGACTGATCTTCTTTATAGAAATCTTTCATTTTCTTCAACAAGTGTTTTGCTAACTCTGTTTTCCCGACCATGGGTTGGCCTGTTATTTGAATGATCTTTTTTCCAGATTCCAATGCGGTCTGAAGCTCTGACAGTTCCTTCTCTCGACCAATGAACGTGACATTCTCTTGTGACGTCATCTTTGCTCTGTAGGATTTAATATACTGTGATTTTGTTTATTCTATGAAAGGGAAAAGCATAAAATGCGCAGTAACAACAGATGGTGACTAAAATAGTAACTACTCAAGATGAACAACATTCTCCAAGCCTCGACTGGTTACCAGCGTTGATAAGCGTAGTTGGGGGTTCAGAAGTTTACACCTCAATCTGAGGGTTAACTCGTTGTTTTTTTTGTTTTTTTTTCTTCGAATATGAAATATGAAAAGCAGAAAGTTGGGGACGTCATAAACGTTACATGAATATAATTTTATAAGTTAATTGCTGTTAGATTTCGAATGGCCAATCAAGAAATAGTATTGTAACACCATTCTGTATTCTAATATTATTAATGAGTTTGTTCAACATCAACCAATCAGTCAACGCTTCATCTTATGGAAGTGAGCGGTCGCAGTTGCTATGTCACGTGACGGCATTCGCGTGCATGGGCGTAGACAATGTTTAGCTCTCGCGTCAATTATTATTATAAATGTATCTGAATGAAAACTGATGGTAGACTTTTACAATTTGTTTATAAATACGTTTATAAGCAAAACTCTAGCTTTGTGACTTTCACTGTATCATTTATTTGTTTATTTTACATAAAAAAAAAATTTCAAGCTAAAGTGTAGCCACTGAAACGTTTTCTGAACACAAAAAAGTAGGTCCGCTCTTGCGTACAAAGTAGTGAGGGAGCCTGTAGCAGAAACTGATTCAGCGCATTCATTCGACGCTCGGAGCGCCCCTGGACGTTCAGGTAAATTCACCTAGTGTGTTTTTCCCCTGATTCATAGTGCGAAGTTGAATTGGAAGTGATACGACGGCGTTATCGACATGAATAAACTCCGAAATCGGTCAAATCATGCAACTAAAAAGTGCATTATAGTTTTTTGCATGGTCAAATACACATAGGCGAAGTGTTGAAAAAAAAGGACAAAAATCCCTCATAACTACGACCGAGTAGTTGAAATGTACGACAGTGAGTTGCACACCTTTTCTTATACACACCGTGTAAACTGAGCATGCACATTTCTGAAATGAACATTTGACCAATAAGCGCTGTGTCACGCGTGACTGTGAGCAATACTCACGTGTTATCGTCCAGACACTTGGGCTGTAACCATCTAATCAGAATAATCTCTAAAACAGTAGGCTGTGAACCCGTCTTAACGCGACAATTTA